ACCAACTGCTCCGAACAACACCTCCGTGACAAATTGGCATCCCAGCATTGATTGGGCGAGGAATGCGCCCCGCGAGGCTATCAAATCCAGTAAAGGCTGAGATATAGCTTTGAGCAATTCCACTCGTCTTGTCTCGGGATCTTTCTTCGAAGTGCCAGTTCGGAGCTCCCTGACTTCAGTGATAATGCTCTCGGTGTCTGTACCTTTTGGGATTAACCATTTCGGCGGCTCCGGCGACATCAAGTACAGAAGTGGTATCCGCGCATTGAGGTGCTCAATTTGGGACATGAGCTCCTGTTCTCGTGCGTCACGATCGAGATCCTTAACCAGTATCTCCAGGAAGATCGCTTTGGCCGTCATCACCGTATCGTCGATGACCTCATATGCAGTGAGCAGGATTGTATGTCCGTAAACATCACCTGCAAGCAGCTTCATATGCGTCTTGAAGAACTTGAGTATTGTCCTTCGATCTTTCGAGTTACCATACGCAAGCGCTAAGCAGACGAGCCTCGACCCAGATCGTGTGAACGCAAGGTTCTTGTAGCAATCGCCCTCTTCATCGTCTCGCAACATCTCAAGGAATTCCGTCTGTTCAGGGCTTCCGGGTTTGACGTTTAGGAAATATTGCAGCAATGCATCATGTAGTATTGTAAAGCCTGTCGTCTTCTTCTGCACAAGCTGATTCGTCATCTCCTTGAGGTGTTGCATAATTGGTCCTCGTTTCTCCGGGTGTACTTTCAAGATTTCACTCAAATCGGCAGTGACTTCCTCCCCATCTTGTTGGGTGGTATTGTTCTTTGAGAAGACGACGAATTCTGCCCCGTACCATTCCCTCAAGAGAATTGACCTTTGGGATTTCGTTGCAATCGTCCGGTAGATGTCGTCGAGAATCCAACTCGCTTCGGGATGTCGAACAAGCCTCTTGACGTGCCCGTAAAATTCGGTTACGACAGCATCGCGACTCTCCTCGTCGCCCACAACCATTTTGGCAATGAGAAACTTTGCGTACTTGCTCTCCGCAAGTTCGCGGTAGTGTCCTTTCAGCTCTTGCGTAATTTGCCTGCGCTGTGCGGGTGTTGCGTATTTTAGTGCGCATTGTATAACGCGCACGGCGTCGTGTTTGAAAACGAAATCCTTGACTCGACCAGATATGATATCGAAGAGCTCCTTGACTAGTTGCTCCCGCTCTGTCTTAGGAACATGAGATTTGCGGCGAAGTCTTTCCCAAATCTTTTTACTGCGAGCAATAGAGTCGGCGTTCGGTTTGGCCGCTTTGCGGTCTTGGGCGAGGGCCTTTTGTTTGGCATGGGCTTCCCGCGACGAAGTTCCTGCAGCGGTACTTGTTAGCATGATGCCGCATGATCTATCACGGGAAAGAAGAGGAGGAAAACGTAGTCAGACTTACCATTCAAGAAGGTTTCTTGGTTCCTTGTGTCTGTTCGTCCCTCACGGGCGTCCGAGTCGTGTCTCTTGATGTGCTTATTCTTGTTCGATCCATCTTGCTGAGGCTCTTCGTCGAACGCTGCGAGGTCTTCAGAATCGTCTGCAGATTTGGCCTTGTTTGGGAAATCTTTAATAGGCTTCAACTTTTTGGACGACTTCGAATCCACAGATTCACTTGCTCTTTTGGTCCCAGCCATCCTGAACATGATTTCACCGCAAACTGCGGTTTGGTTGAAGAGTCCAGTCGGCCAAGTATTCTTGGACAGGGTCGAATCTTTTTTTTCCAAGTGGGGCGCGCGGTAGAAAACCAAGCAAAGTTAGCACACTGGTTAAATACATCTATCCTCCGCATTTATTCCGGATTACAATCTTTCCCCCTTACGGAGTACTTCCTATCATGTTGATGTTGGGCAAACTCACACCCTTCATTTCCATAATGATGGCAGGTAGGTATTGTGTCAGCCGGCTCGAAAGAATTACTCCCCTTCACTCCCGTCAAGGCACCTTAACAACGTGTGATTTGATTTGTGTTTCATCACCATTTACTGCGGTACCGCGATGGACTATGGTTTCGATACTCCGGGCCCTACACGCTATGATGCAGCACATACCCAGGTATCAAGATATGTACATGGGTATATCAGAAGTCTTCTTAGCACCCGAGATTCCCCTACGTCCGACGCACGAATGAACATGATGTCCCCTCATCAACAGATGTTACGCGAACGGAATATTATTGTTCCTTGGTGCATCGATCTCAAAACTTCAAAGGTTGGAAGGACAGTAGAGATCCTCAGCTACGGAGCTCCTCATTTCCTTTTGCAATAGCATGTCTCACAGTGCTTCCCGAAGTATATTAATCTGAGCTGAATCTTAGCTGCAGATGCCCTCAGCGGTTTAGCGATACTAAGGTAGTGACAGATTGCTTCTATCCGCGTGAAGGGTGTTGCTATTCACTTCTTCAAGTTGACAAAAGCACTTGCTTGCCTTGGCAGTAGAATATACAGGTGTGTTGCAGCTCTTCAATTCCTTTTTATCATGGTACATTTTACGTTTCTACTCTGGGGCCGAGAGCTGGCCAGAATTGCAGTACTTTGGGGTCTGTTTTAGCTCTCCTGCCTCAGGGAAAAAGCTCGTTAGAAACCATCTGAGCACCCTTTACCTCATGGAACGCGCGAATCGCTCGACAGGAGTCGATAATGGCCCGTCCCTGTAAGCACCCAGTTTTAATTATCGAAATGTCATTGTATTAAACTGACAATTTGGTTGATGCCGTTTAGAATTGTCTTGTCACAGTCTACCGCCATGCAGGCTAGGCAGGTGGCCCTCACCGGAAAAGCCTTCAATGCAGATGAATCAGATGAGACAGATGAGAATTCTCGCCACTCCAGCATATACCACGCTTTGTTGGAATACCGGACAGGACGGAAGCCTTTAATACCCAATCCCATTCACACAGAAAGAGTAAAAGCAGACCTACTGTCACAAAGTCTAAGCCAAAGTGCTTTGCCGACACATGCCTTTAGCGGTGGTGTTGTTCCAAACGTCATGCAGACACAGGCAACTTCAACTTCCATCATGCCTCATGTTTTGCCCGATTCTGGAATATGCTACGATGTTGAAGCGACAGACGAGCAAGTATCTTCGGGTATGCGGATCCCACGATTCTCGCCGGATCAAATCGCCAACGCGTTCTCAAGGTCTGCAGCGTATGCCCTGAATTCGAAGGAAGTTGAGTATCTTATCCACTTCTTGAAGAAGCCTTGTGTCAAGGATCAGGGACCTTCAAGACAACTCATTCGCGCAAAGATTGACGCCTTCCATGAGGATGAAATAGCAATGAGTGGAGGGTCGCGAGAAAGACTTGCGTATCCTTCAGGGTCCGAGGATGCGGAATTTGGTGTCATACTTCACTGTCAGTCTACTAAAGGTCACGTTGGGGAGTTCTGGGATCCCGAAAACAGGACGATACAGCTTCTTATCGAGAAAGGCCTCAGCCCCGAGTTCATATATGGTTTCGACTGGCACTGGCGTGCTGAAGAGTCCATGCGACGGGCTGACCAATCATCTTGCCCTACGAGACGCTGGCCAAAGGGCTTACGTTCTCTCCACGATCGGTTTTCAAGTGGACTCCTAGAGCTTCTTCCCTTGCCGTGGGTGGTGATTGGCGGAGGTTGCGCAAAAGACAGCTACCGTCGGACTCTATCTGGTTGCTCTAAGCAGCTGACTATACAGCTGGCCGACGCCGTCAATCTTGAAATTGACCTGAACTTCCATGGAACCAGCCTTAGGCGCATAGTGATATACGTACCTCATCCGTCATCGGCCTTTTTCAAGCCATCATCAGCCTACAATGTCGGGACAGTTCTGGATGCGAGCATTAATTTCATTCTCTGGCTTCATCATCGAGACGGTAACTCGAATAACTTCATCGAGACTCTATCTTTGATAAGTCCAGGAGTTCGCAGTGCAGCACCCTTGGGAGAGCTGTATGGCTATGTGGCGCGAGAGTTAAACCTCGGCAGAAATCTTATTCTAGACGAGTATAAGCCCGCATTCTTGAGTTGGGCGACGACCTACCTGCTCGAGTCTCCTGTCAGTGTTTTGAGTCGAGGTGATTCGTTGGCACAATCTATCAGACGCAAAATAGGGAACCAAATCAGCAGTACGAAGAAGTCGAATGGCTTTGATGCAGTCCAGATAGGTCGGAAAGGACCCGCTGCACGGTATGGCTATGAGAACAAACTAATCTGGGATGGACAGCGTGTTTCTGTGACCCAAAAAGGCACTTTCAAGATCTTTCTGTCTGAAGACCAGGAAAGTCTTGAATTAAGAGGGGGAAGGCCACTGCAAAGAGAAGTGTCCAAGTCTCCAAACCCGGTGACCATCCATTTTTCGGATGAAGAGATCACTCTTCAACAAGACGGCTCAGTGGTGTTTCAGACAACATGTGCCCAGATCAAGGACCAGAACCTACGAGCACGATGGGTCGCACAACTCAGAGTCGAGTCCCGAGAGAAGACGGCATCGATGGAGGCTAAGATCCCGGGACACATCACAGCAATTACAAGCTTGATCTAACCCGACAGAACACGGCAAAGCAGTCAGAGCATTTATGATACCATTGTCAATTGGAAAGATAGTACGCAGAGCCTTGGAGCATCAGGTGGCAAGTGTTGGGTTCGAGGCTGCACATCGGGCACAAATTGATAGGCAAGAGCGCAGATGCTGACTGACGAAGGTTGATGAATCGCGACTCGCAAATGTTGAATCATACAAGTTTTGTAGTCGAATCAATTGGAAACGGAACGGAAGGTTGAGATATCTTCCAGAAGGACAAGGAATAGGCGAGGACCGATGTAAGATCAAGTACTCCGTACTAGACTCAGCAAGTCCTCCATACCCGTAGAAGCTCGAGAACCCATTGCCAAGATGCCAAGGCCACTAGAAGGTAATAACGTCAAGCAGATTCAAAAACATCTTATTAGGTTAAAAAACTGGCAATTTCCTCAAGAACTAGCCACGAGTCCCCGCATCGGTTATTCATGGTAGCTCTGGCCTCTATAGCCCAGTTGGTAGAGCGCGGCACTAGTAATCACTATTATGTGATGCCGAGGTCTTCAGTTCGACTCTGAATGGAGGCATTTCTTTTTTGTTTTTGTCCTTCCAACCAATATTAACATGTTTGAATTTGTTGTTATTGTATACCTGTATCATTGAACAGTTCTAAGGATGATTTTTTTTGATATGTCGCCGCGACACTATTCATCCCAGGTAGGCCGAAGCTCTTGTCGCGTCTTCTTGGTCGTGTGGTCTTGATGGCCTCATTGTTATTTACATTTTAGGCTTGCTGCACAGATCAACACTGGAATGCAAATTATCTCACAAGAATGCTTGTGTCAATGACAATATGCGTATGGTGGGCTAGACTGAGCAAGCCTCCTTCCGCATTCCAGTACTTTCCAGCTCATGTCGATTCCTATCAACGAGCAGTACGGTCATATCGAGCTCAGCCAAGCTCAATTCCCGTCCAGGGATCGCCTCGTTAGGAATATGGCACAGTGGAGCGAAGCGCTCTATGGCAGTGGCCGCTGTATGTATCAGATTCCCCTTACGACCAATCGCTTGCTCGAGGTAATGATGGTCCATGTACGCCATGTTGAGTTCAAATTACGACGCATCGCAGATTCTACCTACTGGTGGCAATCCTCAGAAACGGAGACCCACCGGATCGGCGATGTTCTTGACATGTTACTAAACGAGCTTGACGACCAGCTCGTCGGACTACTTGCTGGAATTGGCAACTGTGTAGGCGTTCTCGAACAAGCTTCGCAGGCGAGTTTGGAGACAGAGGTCGACGCCAAGAAAGGTCGTCACGAAGTCGACGAGCTACTACAGCGGAAACACGAGGTTTTCAGGAGTCATGAACCCGATCCAGCTCTTTTCCATCGTACGCAAAATCCGTTCGAACACCACCATCAAACTTCCCGTTTTGGAGGTCCGAGATAAGCTCAAACAAGCTGAGGTGCAGCTGCGCAGACACTGAGACGACACCCAGAAGGCCCAAAAGAACACTCTCCTTCGGTCGTTTGTTGAATTATCGAGCTGGCTTGGAACAGCTGCTGGAACAGTTGCAGGGAGTCCTGAGGCGGCTGAGTCGCTCGAGTGGCAGAATAGAACTTGCTCGCACTTCCGAGAAGGATCGATCTGTACTGCAACTCAAGAAGGGTAACTTCGACGCACCACCGGTGTTGTAAGTGTGAAAGGTTATCGGGGGGAATGGGCAATAGGTTCAATCAACTCTGAGACTCAGCGACGATGCGGCGCTGTTTGGCAGGCTTGTCTGGTTGGCACCGACCTGCTTCTGTTCCAACGACTTTCAATGCCGATGCTTCCAGAAGAAAAGGAGCAAGAAGAGCAATTATTCTGATTTTTCTAGGTTGGACATTCTGTTCCTGAGTTGGAATAGGTTCTGATCATGTTTTGAACCTGGCCCTAGGACGAGTTGTCATCATTCATTTTAGCATCTAACCGACATTTGCAAATCACCATGATTCATCATCTCGTAAAAGGCTACATGGAAAATTTAAAACATAGAGAAATGTCAAATCGGGGAGAACCATGAAACTATCCTCGCCAATCCAAGAGTGGATTCCACGCCCATCACAATGCATTTCCCGTCGGAATCAACAGCATCAATCGGTCGATAGATGCATTGTGCTTCCTGTACACTGCCAATGCTATGGTGCGGAAGAGTCGCCGAGTAGGAAAAGAACCTGCCATCGTCGTGTGTTCAGGTTGGAGGGGGGATGCCTGCTTAAGGGCGGGTAGTTGCGCCCAGAGACAATGTAAGAGATTAAAATCCCTTGGTTGACTTGTAAAACATGTTGATCTGTCTCGAAGCTTGCCTCTTCATCACCACACTGAGTGAGCTTTGCAGATCAAACTAATAGTGGAATGGTTCTCCAAAGCCGTCGTAACAGCATTTAGAGATAATGGTAAAATATACATCTGTGTAGAATACCAGTGATCTTACACGAAGAAGGAAAAAGTTTGTGCGCCATTTAATTGTGTAGGCCTTCCGAGTCTTCCAAATCTCGAGTATTGCACAGCCAACAACTCAATGATGCTTCAAGCATGCAAAAATGACCAACGAACCATCTTGTGAGCGGCGCTAGCCACTGCGAGATTGTTCTGCCATTGAAGTTTGCGTCGCCACGTGGAACTGAGGAGGAGAACTCTCTCCCTGGATCGGGAGTTGTCCGGCAGGCAAGAGTTTCGGCTCCAGCCTTCGTGGAGGTGGCGGATCATTCGGATTTCGAATGACTGGGACGAAGCCATAAAACGGGATATTGTCTGGATGTGTACGAAGAGTCGGAGGAGGAGGGGGATCATAAGAAGGTGATGGCCCGGTGGGCTCTGGATTTTGTGGTGGCAGTGAGCGATGTGGAAAAGAATCACTCTGTGGTGTGGCTGATAAATCAGAGGAATTGGGTTGAGATTGCCATTGATGAAGAGAATGAGGAGGCAGCCCCTGCGGATACTGTGGTTGCTGTGGCGGCGGCGGTGCTGCTGAATCCGGGAAAAGTGTCGAAGGCGAATGAGATGATCTGATCCAGGTCAGAGGCGCTGCTGCACGATTTCTCTCGGCCTCCAGATACTGGATCTTTTGCTCCGCTTCCAGTAATTTCGCTTTCAACGCTTCTAGCTCCGTATTTGCGCTTGCGGGAGCATTTTTCTTCCTTTTCTTTTTATTTGAGTCTCCTGAAATGCGACCCCGGTTGATGTCCTCGACACCGGACATGACACCTGGCACCATGCCAGGGAATCGGCCTTGACTGCTCGAAGCTACCTCTACTTCTCCAGAGGTTGCCACAATTCCAGCATCATTACAGTTGTCGGCTTGAGGTGTTGTTGTCGTTGTTGGTGTTGTTTCAGCATCATCCTCAGCTCGATCGCCGACCGACCCAGGGGAAGCACCAACTGATTGCTCTGCGGAGCCAAGAAAATCGAAAAGCGGTTGCAGGCTGTGGTCACGTCCACCTTCTGTAGCTGTCTCGTTCTCGTTTGCGGGCTGAGGCAAAGGTTCCGGAATATTTTGGTCCTGGGGACGGCCATTTTTTGCACGTGGTCGATATGTTTTTGGCCGGCCTCGACTGAGGTGCTCTAATTTCTCGGGGTGGAAGATTTCCATCAGTTTCCGACGTTTACTGCCGGCTCGAGGCAGTGGAGCTCGTTCATCAAACGTTGGATGGAGTGGGATGTGCTTGTAGTGCAATTCCAGGCTCATCTTCGTCAAGGAGAACTTGATGGCCAGCACTCCCTCGCACTCCCAAACCTGTTTCTTCCCTACAATACCTGCTTTGACCTTGGACAATCCTTCACTGGCAGCCCGACCTTTGTTCAAGACCGAGTCATTACAGAAGTAAGAAAACCTGCTTGCTTGGTCCTCTCGGCTGATCCAGTGGTTGTGAAAGCTGTAATGATAACCGTCGGCCTCCTGGACCGCGTCAACCAGAGTTTTAGAGATGCCTTTCTGAGTAAGCATTTGTTCTTTGGGGTCCTGGATGTTCTGTAACGCGTCGATGACCGTGACAGCCGTCTTGTTGAAATGGCTGTACGAATAGGGGGTCTTGTCGTGCAAAGGCCTGTTTCCTTTTTTCTCTCGCAGTGCTATGAGAAATGCCGTCGTGACCGGAAACGAGAACGCCAGAGTGGTATGTGCATGTTCACCAGTGGGATTAGCAAGATAGTTCCGTAGCTGTTCTTCTAAATCTTCGACTTTATTGCATTTGAACTGAACGGTCTGTCCTAAAGGATCCTTTGCCTGGCGACCTCTATGCCGCTTCGGTTTCATTGGCGCGGGCTCGGCTGCTCTATTTTCATCCTGAACATCATTCTCTATCGTCGGCAGTTGCGTAGGTGTCGCATTTGACACGCTCGAGGCCTCTGGCTCCTCCATCTGACGAGTGTAAAGGAGGTGTCGATATCAATTAGAGGCATCTCGCAGCTGATTAGGGTAAGATTGATACGCGCAAAGTCGACCCCTGCCAAGCCAGATCTGTTCCAGTCCCGTCATTGGTGAATTCCCCCCACCGCTCCCATCTCTTTACACTACGAGTAGGATTTTGTTGTCGGTATCGAGGGGCTCAAGGGGGACATTCAGAGCATGGTACAGCGGTTATTCCACCAAGCAGCGAGACACCACTTCACCCTCTCACCTAGTCCCTCATCCCTCCCTCTGATCCTACGTCGCAACGTCAACATGGTACCTGCCCCTTCTAACTCCCGACCGATTGTCTTCTCAGGCCCTTCAGGCACGGGAAAGTCAACTTTGATCAAGCGACTCTTCCAAAACCACCCAGACCTCTTCGGCTTCAGCGTCTCCCACACTACCCGTAAACCTCGCAATGGAGAGGAAGATGGCGTACATTACCACTTCACTACGGTGGAGGATTTCGAAAAGATGATTGCGGAAAATGCCTTCGAGGAGCATGCTAAATTTGGGGGCAACTATTATGGATCATCCAAGAAAGCGGTGCAGGATGTTGCAGATGGAAAAGGCAAGAGTATCGATGGGACCACCGCGTCAGGAAAGAGAATCTGCATTTTTGACATCGAGATGGAAGGTGTCAAGCAGCTGAAGAAGAGCACATTAAATCCTAGGATATGCTTCATTCAGCCTCCCAGCATGGAAATTCTGGAGCAGCGGCTACGCGGCAGAGGCGACACAGCAGAGGATGCCATCCAGAGAAGATTGGCCCAGGCGAAGAATGAGATGGAATACTGCAAACAGGAAGGCAAGAATGACAAGGTCATCATCAATGACGACCTCGACCGAACGTTTAACGAGCTGGACGAGTGGGTAATGAAGGGCATTTCTGCTTGAACGTTCGACTTGAAGTTTTGGTTACAGCGCAATAGACAGCATGGGCTTGCTTTACGAAAACAAAAGTGGGAAAATTCGGTAGAGTAATAGATCGAGATATCATGAGGATCAATTATACCCCAGATTCAAAGAAGAGAATCCCGCTCTCAATAGACGCTACATTAGAAGAGGCTCCAATTACAAAACAAGCATCAATCACCGTGCAGAATCTCGCCGACCCATATCTCCAATCCCCAGGACTAGACTTCAGTAGCC